ACAATTTTTTCCATATTTAGGTTTTAAAAAGTCGTACAGAAAACTGTTCATCGTTATAAATATCATCACTATGTTTGAACTACTTACTGTGTGCGGCACGATAACAACATGCTTTTAAAAATAGAATCATTGATTGGCACAAATATTATTCAAGTGTGAAAATCAATGTCAACATCAGCATAAACAAAATTTACCTGTCAAAGCATCTCTCTATTTCCGTTTAACATAGTTACCTTGTAGTAGAAAAAAAATCAATATGGAACGAGCCTGAAAAAGCGCTGTACGTAAACGAAAACACCATTCAATTTACTTTTTTTTTAATATCCAAATAAATACTTTTTAATAGTTTTTTTTTCACTTTTTGCGTTTTTCATTTAAATATAAAATGACATAATTTATGAAATAGCTATCGTTACGGCATGTCACGAGTGTTTTTTTTATTTGTTTTACCTTAATGAAATTTCAATTGAAGTATTCTTGCTTTGTTCATTGATTGTTTTAAATCCGCTCTTAAATCATAGATTATTTATTAATTTCGCTTTTATTTTTAATTTATTTTAATTGTTTTTTTGTTTTTTTTTTTAATATACGTATCGCCTTTTCTCTACGCTTAACTTAACAAATGGAATTACTTCTTATGCTTATATCGTACTTTGTTGCTGTTGTTTTTTCTTCTTCTTTTATTAATTTAATCATTACGCGTGTCACATTCATCAATTATTTTAATTTTTTCTTCTTTTTTGTTTCGTAAAATTATCCTTATGACCTAGGCAAACTACGGGCTACGTCTTTATGTATGTTTTATTTTTCTTGTTTAACTCTCATTTCAGATCAATAGATACTAGATACTTGCTTCATATATTTATACAGACTAATCAGACCTAGGAGCTACATTTAAAATGTGTGTGTGTGTTTTTTTTGTGTTAATTTCCATTTTTTTGCTCTTGCTGTTTGCTTGTTTCATTTATGCGCATTTTCATTTCATATATGTTCTGAAAATTGGTTAAAATAAACGTGTGCGATGTGTAAATGTCCTGTAGTAAATACTGCCTAGTTAATGTTTTATCTTCGTTTCGCTGATGCAATCATTTGACGAAGCATTGGCTCCGGTGTGCAGACTTTGGGATCACACTTCATTTGGCCATCGCCACCGCATCTAAGAAGGAGAAGAGAGAAAAGTAATGAATGAGTTTTTGTCTTCAACTTTCGTTTTTTGTGTCCATAAAATATGAAGATAAATGGTCATTGACGAAAAAAGATAAAAAAAAATTGCAATGACAGCCAAAGCGAATGAAATAGAATACACAGAAAAAATGCATTTTGTAATCAAATACTTACATGCAATCGATGCATGGTCCGCTGGCGGTTGTAACTCGTTCGCCAATTT